GAGTGTAACCATAAATTATGATGGCCAGAAGCACGAGTTTGTATTATCTGTGCTTCAGAAGATGCTTCTTTTCCATGGAAATAATAAGAAAAATGGTTGCATCTATAAATCAATGTGCGACTCAGTAACAGTAACTATTTACAGAAGCACAAATACGGTTCTCGTTCAAGGGACTGGTGCATTTGAATGGTACCAAAATGACTTTCTAGAAGAAGTTAAAAGTCATATTGACATCAGCCAAAATGACTCTCTGACAGATTGCAAGATTATTGTCAATCAACCAAGCTGCACATCAACTCCAAGACCTTCAAAACAAAATGAATCAAGTGTGGAGATAGATTGCCACCAGTGTAGCAGCTCAGAAAATGTACAACTTCTTTCTGAAACTGTTAAATTGCTGACACAGGAAGTAATTCTTCTAAAGAAACAGCTTTTGGATGCACGACAAACAAAAGCCTGTGCCAACGCCTTCACACAGACTCCGAGAACACAGATGAAACAGAAGGCAACATCGACCGAAGGAATATCTGTTAAAACTGGTATATCGCGACACAGCCAATGCTCATTTAGTGTTGACAAAAAAAACTACCAGTACATCAACAGATACTATGGATTCCAGTTTTGTATGGGAAAACACGCAACCCACACAGAAAAACAAAATGATGGCGACAAAGGACAGTCCTAATTTACATCCCTCCAGAGAGAGCCAGCCTTCATCAACTCCTAAAGAACGAGGAAACTTCCCCAGGATTTCGAATTCTCCATTTATTTCTACAAGAGAACGAACCCAAAAAACTACCCTGGTCATCGGAAGTTCTATTCTTCAACGAATCAAAACCCGAGGCTTAGATTCGAGTGTGAATGTTAGTACTAATCGTGGTGCTAACATATCACACATCCGTACAAAACTTCAAAGATATGATATATCTGCCATCGAAAATGTCATCATCCAGGCCGGCGATAATGATGTAGCTAACCTGCGCAACATCGATGCGATTCAGAATGATTTCACTGAAATCATCGCAGATCTAAAGAGGAGAAATCATACCATTTCCGTGTTCATATCAGAAGTGATGCCAAGGTGTGATGCGGATGTTACTGAAATTAATGAGTGCATAAAGTATATCTGTGAGGAGTATGGTGCTACGCTTATTGAGACCAGCGGATCATTCAAGCACTGGAATTCCCCTTCCTTTTAGAGAGATGGCATTCATTTGTCTGATCGCGGTACTTCCTTGCTTCTCAAGCTGTACAATACCCATGTGAAAATCCTAAAGCAACAAAGGCCCTCATCTGTGCAAACATGCTTTTACTGCGGAGAGCAAGGCCATTCCTCGCGAAACTGCCGACATTGAAACAAAGTTGTATGTTGGTATTGTGGTGAGCATGGTCACAAACAAAAGTTTTGTACCAGATAGGGTCACGGCAATGAAAGCTGTGCCGGTGATACGAATAACTGTCCCACTATCAATGTCAAAAATTATTTTGATCCTTTGAATAATCTCTGTTTTGACTGTAACGAATTAATTTGCACCTGTTCTTTAATTAATAATTGCTCAAATGATTTAAATCTTAAATCAGAACTGATAAATACTTGTTTTAATAAGGAAAACACTTTTTCGAATCTTAAACAAACAAATCCTAAAAATTCTTCTCCAAAACCAGATACCTCAAATGAAATAAAACAAAACATATGTAAATCAAATCTTGGTTTAATGAAAAAAGGGCCTACATTTTATTAATTTGAATGTGTGTCACATTATGCCAAAATTAGATGAATTGGTTTTGTATTTACAAGAACAGCTTTACACTGATATATTTTCCTTATGTGAAACATTTCTTGATGAAAATATTAATGATTTTAGTATAAATATAAAAGGATATTGTTTGGAAAGAAAAGACAGAGTAGGAAAGGCTGGTGGTGGACTTGTTACTTATATTTCAAATGATTTGAAATATAAACGCCGTAAGGATTTAGAAATTAGCAATATTGAGACAATGTGGCTTGAAATTAATCTTAAAAATTCTAAACCTATACTTTATTGTTCAGTTTACCGTCCACCATCTGCCCCCTCCTGCTGGGTAGATGATTTTGTCCAAGAGTTACAGTGCGCTACCTGCTGTGACGACCAGGAAGTGATTATTGCAGGTGATCTCAATATTGATATGCTTAAAGAACCCCCGCGGAGTTGGTCATCTGCAATTGTAGACTTTGGATTAACACAATTAATTAACACCCCAACAAGAATTACTAATAGCTCTAAAACTCTTATTGACCATTTCTACACTACGCACCCTGCTAACATATGTGAAATAGCAGTACCCCCTGTAGTGATGTCTGATCATTATCCTAACAGCATGCAACGAAAAGGCAAACATATTGAAATACAATACCGTGACTTCAAAAATTTTAATGAAACAAACTTTTTGCATGATTTAAACAATGCAAATTTTGATGAATTAATTCTACTGCATGATCCCAATGACATTTTAAACGGTTTTTATGATATTTTCAATGCTATAATCAATAAGCATGCAAAAGTAAAAACAAAGCGTGTGAAATCAGAATTCCGCACTAAATGGTTAACTCCAGAAATAAATAATGCTAGGAATTTTCGAGATCAATTTCATAAACAGGGAGACATGGATAATTTTAGACTTTGGAGGAACAAAGTCACATCTTTAATAAATAATGCAAAATCTACATATTATAAAGCAGTAATTGAAAATAGTTCTACTTCAAAGGAAATGTGGGGCCACTTAAATCAGTTAGCCTCAAAATCAGACAAAAACTCGTCTCCTTCCAATATAACATATAACGGTTTAGATCTTGATAATCTACAAGATATTGCAAATGCATTTAATGAGCATTTTGCCCAAATTCCAAAAAAATTAATAGATAATCTTTCGTTTACTGCTTTCAAATCAGAAAAATTGAAAAGATACACGGAGACAAAACTTGGAGATCAAGACTTTTTTGAAATCCCTTTGATTAATGAAGAAAAGGTATTCGAAATGTTAAAAAGACTTGATGTAAACAAATCTGCTGGTATAGACTTTCTTGGACCTAGATTGCTTAAGCTGTCAGCTAGTATAATATCCAAACCTCTAACACACTTAATAAATTCTAGCATAATCAATGGATCTTTTCCTTCACAGTTAAAGGTCGCAAAAGTAACCCCCTTGTTTAAAAAGGGCGATAAATCAGACCCAGGAAACTATCGTCCAATCTCGATTTTACCAACGATATCGAAAGTTTTAGAGAAGCATGTAGCAGAAAATATACGCATCTTTACTTCTCACTTTGACTTGCTAATGAAAGCACAATCTGGATTTCGAGAACTTCACTCATGCCAGACAGCTCTCACAAAACTAACTGATGATTGGTTGCATGCAATAGATAAAGGAAATTTTGTAGGTATTACATATCTGGATTTTAGCAAAGCATTTGATCTTGTTAATCATGATATACTAATTAAAAAACTTGAATGCTATCACTTTGATCCAATATCAATTAAATGGTTTAAATCATACTTATATAATCGAACTCAAAGTGTTAAAATTGGTGCGTACACATCTGAATCACTGCCAGTCACAGCAGGTGTGCCTCAGGGCTCTATTGTAGGTCCTTTGTTGCTTCTATTGTATATTAATGATTTACCATTGTCTGTTGAACATTGTAATATTGATATGTTTGCTGATGACACTACAATGCATCTTCATGATAATAGTATTTCGCGTATTGAAACCACTCTTAATCATGAACTCTGTCAAATACAAAAATGGTGTCAACAAAATCAGATGATTATAAATACTGATAAAACAAAGTGTATGTTAATGGGAACACACCAAAAGAAATCTAAATTAGAAAACGTTAATTTTCATTTACAACTTTCCGATCATCCCCTTGAAAATGTAGAAATGCAAAAATTATTAGGTGTTCACATTGATCATAATCTTCAATATACTTGTCATGTAGATGCAGTTTGCAAAACTCTTACATATAAATTATTTACTTTACGAAAAATCAAAAAGTTTCTTCCAATGCGTACTAGAAAACTATTTTATAATGCTTTTATCCTGCCATCGATTTTATATTGTCTATCCATTTGGGGCAATTGTCCTCAAACACACATGGACAGAATCTACAGATTACAAAAAAAAGCAGCTAGGATTATTTTAAATGAAAAATATGATACACCTTCAATGCCTTTATTTAACACTTTAGGTTGGCTAACAGTTTATGAACTTTTATATTTACAGAAAAGCATTTTAATGTACAAAATATTTCATGGAATGTCTCCTGATTATATGCATAATCTTTTTGAATTTCAAAGTTCTGGATCATACACTTTACGCTCAGAAACAATTTCCGAACTTCGACTACCAAAATATAAAACAAACTTATTTAAAAATTCTTTACAATATTCAGGGGTTATTATCTGGAATGAGTTACCAATTAATATCAGAAATTCTCAATCCCCTGCAATATTTAAAAGAAGTGTTGAAAATTTTCTACTTATAAAACGCAATGATTCTGTGTGATTTTTTCTTTCTCTCTATACTGAAATGCTGATGTTTTTATTTGTTTGTAACATACTGATTGATTTTTTATTGTCTAATAATTGTAATGTTATTTATTGTATATATGCATTGTATATGTGTTTTTAAAGAAGGCCCCGAGGAAGACTAGTGTTCGCACTAATCGGGTTACCTTCTCTAAATAAAGTATTATTATTATTATTATTATGTACAGTGTACATAGGCAAAGCCTTTTCTCCACAATTGCAAGGTAATGCTAATCATATTCGTTAACCAGTAGAAGACCCCTTAGATTTCCGATTAAGTCATGAAATTATTTATGGATAATTTAAAAATCAGTTTGATAGCTAGCAAAGAGGAGAACAAAGTAAGTCAGGTAAGCATTGTGGTCAATGGGTCTCTTGTTAATTAGTTGCACGGCAGAAAGATTTCCCATTCAACACTTTAATCCGGGGTCTACATTATAACAAAAATAATAAATACTAATTTTTTCTAAACAATCATTTTTTCTATTTTCAAAATAATAATACACTCAATACTTGCTCTGTAAGGTGTACATTTACATCTCATTTTAAATGTCATAAAACTCTGGAAAATAAAACAACAAACCTTTTACCTCCGTCTTAGTAGCAAATTAAGGATTAATTATACATTGTATAAATAGTTATTTAAGATATTTGATTCTTTTCACATCATTAGAATAACACTCGGCAACATACAGAATGTCGTTACTGTCTGTACTGAGGTCCCACGGATAACAGAGGTGACAACTGTCTAAGTAAAGAAGGAACTGTCCATTCTTATCAATGATGTGTACCACATTGTTATCAAAGTCCGCGATCAGAATATGACAAGAACTGTCTGTGGCCACACCGTACGGGTTAAATGTTCGGTATCTGTTAGCCTGCAAGTTCCCGGTGTAGGAGAAGTGCAACTTTCCCATCTTTGTGACCACCACAATAGTCCTAGTACCCCAGTCACTGACAACGATATCCAAGTTTTTGTTTTCTTCAATGAAGGCTGGATTAGAATAAAGGGGCGTTCGACTTTCATTATATTGGATTTCTTGCATTACTTTGCACTCTGAATAACATGAGTAACGGACTATCTTACTCTGCGAGCGATCTTCTAATCTCATCGTGACAAGCAATTCATTTGCAGAAGTGCAGCACAAGGCTTGTGGTCTCCATTCCAGTAATTTGAGCAAACGTTCTATCTTGCCATTCTTAACGATGTTCACACTTCCGTCGTCATAGTCACTGTAAACAAGGTGTCCATCTTTGTTGACCGTCAGATCAAAGGGTTCGTTTTCGCACAGGGTCGAAATTTTGTCCACTTCCTCTCTTTTACGGAAATGTTTAATCACTTTGTTGTCACCACACACGTAAAACTCGTCTGTTTGAGGAGAGGAGGACACTCTTGCAGTTCGCACGAAACCCGTCTTCACACGATCAAGAACACAGTGAGTTGAACCCATCGTTTTCGGGTTTTTATCAGCTACTTTTCTTAAAGTTGGCAATCTCTGTCTCTGTATGGGCCTCGTTATGGTTTGACCCAGATTCCCGATCTTTTCCGACAGATCGCTCTCAATAGGTGTTGATGGATTGAAATCAGAGACCACCATCTCAAATCTTTCGGGTACATCTCGAAAATACTGATTTTTGGATGTGTAACGAAGGAGTTGATTTATAAGTCTAGGGAAATTTGAATCGTTCATGATTTTGTTATTCTCTTCTATTGTCAGTCGAACTCGGTTTCGCATTTTAAGGAATTTCTTCTCCAGCGATTGAAGACTGCTGATGTCGTCTGCTTCCATTTTCTCCTCTTCTTTGAGAAGCCTTTCTGTAATATCATCAACCATCTTTCTTAGATCTTTCCTTAGGTCTAATATTGTCTTCTTTCTGTCTTGATGTTTGTTTGCAACGACTTTATGCGTCACTTCAATGTCCGACATAACTGTGTCGTAAAATGGCGAAATAAAATTTTCCAGCTCTTGTGTATCTTTTGTGATGAGTTCCTGCAAAGAATCGTACATGATTGACACGTTTTGAACGTCATGGCCGTCATGCTTACCGGAAGTAGCACATTCAAAGCAAACTGGTACTTCACAATGAAAGCAATACTGATCATACGAATAATTTGGGTGATGTTCACAGGCCGGTGGCGTGTTTAAGATTTTTCGGGACTGATGAGGTTGGACCAGAGCATCATTTTTGATGGAGGGTTCAGACGCCCTGCGGCGATGCGTTAACACATATAAGGAATTAGATTCATGGGAACCTTTCCTTCCCAGACCAAGACGTCCACTGATGCCTTTGGTTCGTGGTCGAGGAACCGGAGTTTCCTTGCCGGACTTGTCCATAATGTTGTCATAATAAACCTAAATTGAAAGATCGAATTTTTGATGTGGTTTTCATGTTTTCATTAATATGTTATTTAAAAAGGTGGTTTAAAAAATTACGCGAAGTATACCGGTAACAGGGTAAGTGTAATAAATATTGCAATAGCCGGGAATTTGTCATTTATATATTTTTACGGCCTCAGTTATAACACACATGAAAACTCTTATCTCACGAGAAAATATCAAAGTTATGTTATTAAGTTTGGCAATCGATATGAAAATATCTAAATAATGCTCTTTTCAGATTAAGAGAACCTTTTCTTCAGCATGTCTTTAAAATACAGATACAGAAATTGAGTAATAATTAGAGCTATCCATTTATGATTATTATTTAAAACCTTGTCAAATTAATTAAAGTTTTATTTTATTGTGAAATTAGATAAATTCCTTACCTCTCATTTGAAAAAAAAATTCAGGTAAAAAAAATCAAACTGCTTTATTTTCTTTGGGTATTTCTTCCTTCTTCCGCGTCTTATGGTTAAACTCAAATGAAATGATTATAAATGAACTTCAGTAAAAAGGCTTTACAAGAATTAAACCCGTGATATTATAATTTCCGCGAGGAAATATTTCTCGCATTTTGTTCTACTTTATCTTACTTCTTAATTGGTGTTTGAAGGTATTTATTTCTTCAATGACTTTCCTGTCCAAGTAAAACTTATCGAATCTAAGTAACATTTTAACGACATGCATAAATAAAGGAAACCCGATATGGAATTAACTCACAAGATGGCAGCAAATGAAGAAACCTTATTTGTTTTAGAACCTTTGATATTTTCCTCTTGATCTGCCTCTCTGAAAGAAGAACAGATCAAGCCATACACAAAAGTGGTATAATGGTTTCATTGAGTACACAGTTTTCACAATTTAAAATTCCATTGTAACTTACACTGTGCCAATATAGACCTTATGAGAATAAATTTACTAAAAGTTTGAGGGTTTATTTCCCATCAAGAGACTCTTGCTGGTGTAACGATAATTAAATACTCAATATTTTAATACCATTTAGAACAAACACGGGTGAGCTATAAGACCTTACGGTTTATCATTTGAAGCCTATTTTGAATTATAGATTTAAATTATCTTTGTTAAGCCAAATCATTGCTATGATTGAGGAAATATCTCTTTGAAGTGTAGATCTTGAGTGTTTCATTTATCTTACTGCACTAAGAAACAAGAAATATTTTGTTCTCATGTACATTCACAAGTAAAAAAGGACTGATAACATATTCTGAGTGACATATCAAGGTCTCCGACCCAAATTAGGACATTATTTTGTAACCTTATATCCTGTATTAAATACCCTGAAAATAATTTAAGCAGTTTATCAAGTTGAAAAGGACTAACCAGGAGAATTTTTCTAAAATGTAATTACCTGAGCAGTAATTGATTAATGAAGAATGCATAGAGGTCTATACCTAAACATATAAAACCATTTGGTTTTATATGTCTCTGGTCTATGGGAACAAGTAAATTTTTGAAAATAAAAACTGACACAACAAAAGAAAGATGTATATAATTATTAACAAGAGGCCCATGGGCCTTATAGGTCACCTGAGCATTATGCAACAACTTTCCAGTGATTTAATTTGATTCATGTTTTAAGCAAGATGCTATGGCATTCACAATTTTGAAAGAGGCACCATTTGATCATCATAACAATACACTTAACAGTTGCTTAGTTTGTTTACCTAATACCCATAGGCAGGGTGGAGGAACAAAAAATGCATTTCAAGTAATCAGTAATATTCAGCAATAATCAGTAAAACCCCTATCACACATGAACCCCTGACCCTTAGGCCTGGATCCACACATTGCACAATTTTTGAAAAGGCACCCTTGCTTTTCAAAAATATTTGATTAATACCAAGGAGCAGATCTCAAACAATTCATCCAGTTTCAGTATATAAGTACATCCCCCCTATAATACCCCTGACTCTGGGGCCTTGAAATTCACAATTCTGGAAGATTAGGGTCCTTGCTCATCATAACTACATAGGTAGTTCATCTGCTTAATACCCAAGAGGAGAGAAGAAAATTTTCAAAGATTTAATGTATTTTCACTACCCTTACCAAAATATTGACCTTCTGGCAACATCTTCTGGCTTTATTGCCGCAATATTGCAGCAACATTCTGGCAATACATTGCCGCAATATTGCGGCTATATCGTTTTTCGTATGTAAATTAGTTTTGCGGCAATATTGCCAGAAAGGGGTTGCGGCAATATTGCTGCAAATCATGACCCAAATATTGATCTTCTGGCAACATTTTCCGGCATTATTGCCGCAATATTGCGGCTATATCGTTTTTCGTATGTTAATTAGTTTTGCGGCAATATTGCCAGAAAGGGGTTGCGGCAATATTGCTGCAAATCTTGACCAAAATATTGATCTTCTGGCAACATCTTCCAGCATTATTGCCGCAATATTGCGGCAATATTGTTTTTCGTATGTAAGTTAGATATAAATTGGTATTTAGTAGAAATAATGATCTATCAATCTAACAATTAACAAACTGTGCTGAGGAATATAACAAACAATAGCAAGCCACAGGGTCAATTAGAAATAGCTACTTCTGCTATTCTTTGAACAGACAGAAAATTATGTTGATCATCATAATGAAAATCAAGAAATGTTTGTGAAACACTGTGCGCCTGGTGGCAATAAAGTTTGAAAAAGCTATTTATAGCATATGGGTCACAGTCAAGGTCACAAGGTCATTGATCTTGGTGTCATTTGAAAGAACTTAATTAGTGAAGTATGCATACTAAATATGAAGTCTCTATCTCTTATAGTTCAAAATTTATGGCAGAGGATCAAAATGGCTATTTTTAGCATATGGGTCACAGTAAAGGTCAAATTGTCATTGACCTTGGTGTTACTTGAAAGAGTTTAAATAGTGAAAGGTTCATACCAAATATGAATTCTCCATCTTTTATGACTCAAAAATTATGTCGAAGTTTCAAAAAATCTATTTTAAGTATATGGTCACAATTAAGGTCCCAAGGTCATTGACCTTTGTGTTATTTGAAAGAGGTTAATTAATAAAGGGTGCATACGTAATACAAGTTCTCTATCTTTTATGGCTCAAGATTTATGTCCAAGATTCATAAAATCTATTTTAAGGTTATGAGTCACAGCTAAGGTTTCAAGGTCATTGACCTTCAGGTGTTTTTTGAAAAAGCTTAATTAGTGAATTATGCATACTAAATATAAAGTCTCTATCTTTCATTAATTTTAAGTTATGATGAATATTCCAAAAAGCTATTTTTAGCATATAGGTCACAGTCAAGGTCACAAGGTCATTGACCTTGATGTCATTTGAAAGAACTTAATTAGTGGAGTAGACATACCAAATATGAAATCTTTATCTCTCATTGGTTCAAAAGTAATGGTGAAGGTTAAAGTTTACAAACACACAGACAGGTCAAAAACAATATATACCCCGGATCTATCGAGACAGGCGTATAAAAAATGTTTATAGAAACAATATTAATATGCCACTGTGAAAATGTCCAGCAACTCTGCATTAATTTTCAAATAACATGCTTTAATTCATCTTTCCTGCTACTCTAGGATATATAGACATACAAGTCTAGTATGCATGCATCACAAGCACTAATAGAAACGCATATAATTTTTCCAATTTTATCTCCATTGAATCATTCATCTCAAAAAGAATATTGGTTTTGACTCACCAAGTCTGATGATATGGAAACAGAGTACACATTCCTATAATTCTGTTTAAATTCTTTTTTCTAGTCATTCCACACTATGCAGTCTTACTACTCATCTTGACTAATCCCACTGTACACAATTAACAACTCTAATCAACTTGATACAAGTCAGTAATGAAGCAAAACATGCTTGCCTTTGAATTCCCTCCACTTTATTTAAAAAGTGGAAGTAAATGACTGAGCATGCTCAACAAATGGCTCATGGGTAATCCTAGATGTTGCCAGAAAGTTTTTTTCTGGCATTATTGCCAGAATGTCACCGGAAGTTGTTGCAGCTAGCGGTGATATTTCATTTTTTCTGGCAGTATTGCCAGAATGTCACCAGAAGTTGTTGCCGCTAGCGGTGATATTTCACTAACCCAAAAAGCTTGTTTCTGGTGACAAAAATGTGTTGCCGCAATGTTGCCGCAATATAGCAGCAATATTGCTGCAATAATTTTACTTTGGTAAGGGTATATAATCAATAGAGCCCCACCCTATCACTAGAACCCCTGACCCTAGGGCCATAAAATCAAAATTTTGGAAGAGGTATTCTTGCTCATCATAACTATGTACTTAGTTTATTTAATTCCTAGGAGCAGAAAAGAAATTTTTTCAAAGAATTCATGTATTTCCATTATATAATCAATAGAGTCCCACCCTAACACTAGAACCCCTGACTCTGGGGCCATAAATTTCACATTTTTGGTAGAGGCACTCTTGCACATCATAACAATGCACTTAGTTAGTTTATTTAATACTCAGGAGCAGAGCAGAAGATTTTCAAAGAATTCATGAATTTTCACTATATAATCTATAGAGCCCCGCCCTAACACTAGAATCCCTGACCCTAGGGCCATAAAATTCACAATTTTGGTAGAGGCACTCTTGCTCATCATAACTATGCACTTAGTTAGTTTATTTAATACCCAGGAGCAGAGAAGAAGATTTTCAAAGAAATAATGCATTTTCACTATATACTTATTTAGCCCCACCCTAGCACTAGAACCCCTGACCCCGGGGCCATAAATTTCCCAATTTTGGTAGAGGCACTCTTGCACATCATAACTATGCACTTAGTTAGTTTATTTAATACTCAGGAGTAGGGAAGAAGATTTTCAAAGAATTCATGAATTTTCACTATATAATCTATAGAGCCCCGCCCTTACACTAGAACCCCTGACCCTAGGGCCATAATATTCACAATTTTGGTAGAGGTACTCTTGCTCATCATAACTATGCACTTAGTTAGTTTATTTAATACCCAGGAGCAGAGAAGAAGATTTTCGAAGAAATAATGCATTTTCACTATATACTTATTTAGCCCCACCCTAGCACTAGAACCCCTGACCCTGGGGCCATAAATTTCACAACTTTGGTAGAGGACTCAATGCTGATTACAATCATGCAAACAGTTTAACTGCTTGATGTCCAGGAGTAAAGAAGATTTTTAAAGATTGCATTAATTTTAGTGGTTTTTGCCCCACCCCCCAGGCCCCAGGGGGGCAGGGATCATGAAATTCATAATTTTTGTTCCCCTTCACCCATAGATGCTTTGTGCCAAATTTGGTTGAAATTGGTTCAGTGGTTGCAGAGAAGAAGCTGAAAATGTTCAAATGTTAACGGACGACGGACGACGACGGACGAAAACAGATAGCAATAGGTTACCTGAGTTTACTCAGGTGACCTAAAAATAGAAAAATAATTTTTCACCATATATATTTTTTTAAAATAGAAATGATTGAAAACAAAAGCCCCTT